CTGAATGACTCCACTGCAGTCACAGTGCTGTCCATGATGGTGAGTGGTGGGAGTGCAGGGGGTTTCTCCTGAAGTCCATGGTCGTCTTCACAGTTTTGAGCGTGTTGAGCTCCAATTTGTTGAGACTGCACCAGACAGCCAGTTGCTCGACCTCCTGTCTGTAAGCAGACTCGTCACCGTCCTGAATGAGGCCGATGAGTGTGGTGTCGTCTGCAAACTTCAGGAGCTTGACAGAGGGGTCTTTAGACGTGCAGTCGTTGGTGTAGAGGGAGAAGAGCAGTGGGGAGAGAACACAACCCTGAGGAGCTCCAATGCTGGTTATACGGGTGCTGGATGTGTATTTTCCCAGCCTCACTAGCTGCTGCCTGTCTGTCAGGAAGCTGTTGATCCACTGACAGATGGAGGTGGGCACAGAGAGCTGAGATGGTTTGAGCAAGAGGAGGTTTGGGATGATAGTGTTAAAGGCAGAGCTGAAATCCACGAACAGGATCCTCACATAAGTCCCTGGTCTGTCTAGATGTTGCAGAACATAATGCAGTCCCATGTTAACTGCATCGTCCACAGACCTGTTTGCTCTGTAGGCAAACTGAAGAGGATCCAGCAAGGGTCCAGTGATGTCCTTCAGGTGGGCCAGCACCTTAACACAGGCCAGAGACGCTGAAGACAGACGCAAAGAGAAAAATACTGTAGCAGGCAGATCACTCCCTGTTCATGATGCACAAACTATTGGAAGAAAATCCTCAATATTGATTTGGGGGTTTATATGAATGTGTTTCTAATGGGGAACTGACTATCTTCAGAAAAGTTTACATGGTATTTTCTTTTCATCTCGTCTCTGTATAGATCATGGTCGAGTTCCAAATGGCTTTTTTGCGCCCTTGAAGGGCACTTCGGGAAGGGGACGCCATTTGTAGGGACGTTCCAAACGAAAGTGAACAACTGAATCCCGTTGCGAAGGGCCCTTCCAGAAGTCCGTTAGCGAAAGGAACATGCGATGGTCACTTCACGGAAGTGATTTCCGTTAGTGATCATGTGATCTTCAGTTAGGAGATCTTGCAACGCATTTTAAAGCAAAGTTGTGGTTTATTTCGACACAAACGTAAGTAGAATAGGGTAATTAAATTAGTCTATTTTAATGTAATACAAAATATTTTCATCAGAAATATTATTTAAGATGGTAGTGTAAGCAAGTTTAGTTTGAAAAAGCTTAATAGTAAATAAGACACAATTAGACAATAGGGAATAAAATAATAATAATGGGAAGAAATATATATTTGAAACAACTGATGGAGTGCTGAATGCTGCATGCACTCGCAGCGTTGTCAAGGTAACATTTGGTCAGTCATTCCCTTCGCCAAGGGAGTTCCAAACGCTTATACGAGACAGTAATTCCCTACACCCTTCAAAGAACACACTTCAAGGGCTCCACCCTTCGAAGCGTGTAGGGCATAGGGATGCTGACTTCTGTTTGGAATTCTCCCCATATTAAAGCAGTGTTTCAGCGCAGAGCTGCTTTGTTTACAGCGGTAAACAAGGAAACTGTATCTGATGTTCCAGAAGCGCCTCCTGCTGTCAGAGAGTGAATGTGCGTCTCATTCAGAGCTTCTGCTGTTTGCTTCGTTCGGGCATGTAGTATAATTTCACAAAGCTAGTCAGAACATTCTGTTTGCATCATTGCTTCAAATTGGGTTATTAAATCAAATTATGTATATGAAATTATATAACTAAATGATATGTATATGAATTATATAACTAAAAATAACTGTAATTACAGATTTAGGTTAAATAAAGATGTCAGTCTTTATTTGTCGTCTTTTTAGGAAACAAATCAAAGAAAAAGAAAACAAATTCTACTGTTCCTAATATTTTGTGTTGCTCAAAAACAAAATATATTGTGTTCAGCGGGAAATTATTATTTTTTTACCCAGTCATTTAAAAATAACACAGTTTAGAGCTGTAACGACAATACCGTGAAACCGTGATATTTTTGCTTAAGGTTATCATACTGTCAAAATCTCATACCGGACCATGCCTACATTACACTTTGTCTTAAAGGTGACATATCATGAAAATCTGACTTTTCCAGGTTTTAAGTGCTATAATCAGGTCCATGGTGCATCTACCAACCAAGGAAATGTGAAAAAGATTAACCCAGTAACTGTTTTGGTAAGCCTTTTTCTGCAAGCGTCTGAGAAAATGAGCGCGTCACATTTCACTCCCTTGGTGACGTGGCAAAGGGATCTCATTATAATATTACCGCCCCTTAATCTGTAATCTTGTAATGGCCGCAGCTCTATTCTGGAAAAGGGGGCGGGGAGCAGCAGCTCATTTACATTTAAAGAGACAGGCCCTAACAACAGAGTGTTTCTGCTTCCACTCAAAATAGGCATTTTCAAAATGTTATAATAAATGATCTGTGGAGTATTTTGAGCTGAAACTTTCACAGACACATTCTGGGACACCAAAGACTTATATTACATATTGTAAAAAGGGGCATAATATGTCTCTTTTAATTGACACAACATTATTCCTTTTTGATAAAATGTAATATTATTATTATTATTATTATAAAATATAAAAAGAGTAATGTTAAATTAAGACAAATTAATATTATTAATAATATTAATGCTAATATAATGTATAATTATTGTGCTTAAAAATAATTAAATATAAAGAGCAATATTCAGTTAGGACATTATTATTTGTAGTCTTATTATTTAGTTAGCATTTTGTCAAAGAAAAATAAAAAACTGATTAAAAACAATAATCAGGAAAACATCAGTTAACACACACTTACATTAATATCCATATGGATAAAAAAAATCAATATCAGTCGATCTCTAATTTATTGTGTTAGTTGAGTGTTATAGACTGACATTTTAAAAATAAATAATACATTTCTCACTGTAATAACTTTAATACAGTGACCTATTGTTAATGTCTTTAGATGCATTTGACCTTCTGTACTGTAAAAGTACATACAGTATATGCACACACACTCGCTCTGTCACTCGCATGTAATAATCCTGGACAGTTTCCCGAACGTGGCAGTGTCACTCCATGCTACCCTTCCTTTAATTAACACTCTTGCTATACTGCAGTGATGCTGCTGTAATTAGTGATACTTGTGGTACCACATTAGTGGTATTAAGGTGATTGTCTCCCATTATCTTGTAAAGCCTCTGTCTGGATTCATCCTGGTTAGCATAAACCATATCTACACAGCCCTTCAGTGCACATCTAGTCCTGGAACACACATGCTGAATTGACCACCCAGTCATGTGATATGATGTCACATGAAGTGAGATGAGGTTGCTTTCTGTCTGGTGCTCTGAAGGGAGCTCTGCATTTGAGGATTCAATCCAATAACGTTCTGCCAAACATCAGATCTTTCTCTGCCTTCACTTTTTATTTTATTTTTTTTTACCACTTGAATCCATCATCCACATGTGTTTTCAATTTGGCTCGTCAATATTTCCCCATTACCATGACAGCCAGAGGGGAGTTTGATCTCTCTTCCTCTGCGCTTTTTATTTAAGCTCATACACCCTTGTGTCCTTTCACTCTGCCTGACTTCTCATTAAATGATAAGACACATACATGACACTACATATTTAATTTTGATTTCTAGGAGAATAGCTTTCTAAGCCTCCTAGATTGACCCGAGGTCATTGTGAATTTATCCAGCATGCTGAGCCGGTTTTGAAACATCACTGCTGTGTTTATGCTCAGCTGGACAAGATGTAATGCTTCAGTCCATGGCTCTCCATCAAAAGAACATGGAGCTTGTTAAAACATGACTGCATTCATCTAGACAGGATTTAGTGCCTTTGTTTAGTTTGTGAATATCTTCAAGAGCTGTTCCTCAAGATTTTAGAGGATCAATTCGAATAGTGTACACAGTTACTTACAGAAAATACACACTGTAGCTTTATCAGTAGAGTCAA